TCCCCGAGACAGAGGTGACGTGTTCATGCAAGGTCTCGATTTCCTCCTTAACTCGTCCCATTCCATCTTAGCGTGATCTATTAGCTGCTTGCCGGTTGTTTCATTAACCGTTTCTAAAACATTGGCAATAGTCGCCCAAACATTTATCGTTGGGTTTGAGTCCCATCCCTTGCTTGGCCATCGAAGGACCTCCAGGTAGTTTTAGTCATTTAACCACTTCCTAACTGCCCTTGACGTGTGTATAGGAAAGTTATCCTGCACAAATATGATTGTTTCCGGGAAGGGCCAAGGCATAACAGCTTATTGAAGGGATTATTTTTTTTTCTAATTCGATATATTTTTCTAAGATGCATTTTTCATCATGGAGGAAGTCCCGCCCCCCACATATCACAGGTCACGTGGCCACTCCTCGCCGTTCCATAGATAATTCGTCTGTCGTATGTGAAATGTAAATAATGGTAAAGAATCCGAACATGAAATATAACGTATAGAACACTAATATGTATGAATCAATATCACAAATTGAAATGAATTAATTTGTGAAAAAAAAATGAAAAGGGTTAATAACATTTACACCTATCTCATCCAGCACTGAAGCTTTCCGTGTATTTCTAGTGTATTTTTCTATTTTTTCATTTTCTAGAGTTCCTCCTTTTGGCAACTAAAATTCCGGGCGAATAAATAAGTTTTTCACAAACCGGCATAATGTATAGTAAATTGATTTTGATGTGAAGGTTTGGTATGCTAATTTCATCTAAACCTACGCATATACTATATTATATTACATTTACAAGTTCAAAAAATGCAAATACCAGTTAAAGCGAGAAATTCCGATTTCATTAGCGTGAGCAAGATATACACCACATGCATTGGGAGTCGTTTCTTGGAGTTTTGCTAGTCACCCTCCTTGGAACCACCCAGCTAGTGATTGCTTGAGTTGAAGCTAGCAAACATGTATTTCTCGCTCAGCTGTTCGGATGAGGATGCGAGTCCTTAAAGAAACATCAATACTTATGGCTTAATAATAGCTGATTATACATGCTCTTTCGTTACTCATCACCATGTATGACTTCGAATTTTCTTAGACGCTGCACACATACACACACACGCATATATATATATATATATATATATATATATATATATATATATATATAATATATATATATATATATATTATATATATATATATATATATATAATATATATTATATATACATATATTCATATATATATATATATATATATATATATATATATATATATATATATCATATATGTGTGT